AGCTGCATTAGTTCATTTATGCCAGACAAATTGAATTAGGCCAAGTGTGTATTGGTGAAAGGAGTAAAACTTAAATGCAAAATTTATTGAAAATTAAAATTTAAATTAAATGTCAATTAAATTGCAATTAAAAAATTTCGTGAAATCGGCTGTAAGTGTGCCAATTCTATTAAGAAAAATGTGGGATGTAAATAATATTCGTCTTGAAATAAACGTCCTGAGAGACGAAAAAAATAAAAAGCCCATATAATTATTATAAGAAGACGTAAATAATATTCGTCATGAAATAAACGTCCCGAGAGACGAAAAAAATAAAGAAGCCCATATAATTATTATAAGAAGAGGCAAATAATATTCGTTTTGAAATAAACGTCCCAAGAGACGAAAAAAATAAAAAGCCCATATAATTATTATGAGAAGACGTAAATCATATTCGTCTTGAAATAAACGTCCTGAGAGGCGAAAAAAATAAAAAGCCCATATAAGTATTAAGAGAAGACGTAAATCATATTCGTCTTGAAATAAACGTCCCGAGAGACGAAAAAAATAAAAAGCCCTTATAATTATTATAAGAAGACGTAAATAATATTCGTCTCGAAATAAACGTCCCAAGAGACGAAAAAAAATAAAAAGCCCATATAATTATTTTGAGAAGATGTAAATAATATTCGTCTTGAAATAATCGTCCCGCGAGACGAAAGAAGATATTTCTCAAAAATACTTCCGGTCCCCACAGAAAGGGGAATTCTACTTAGTAAGGAATATAATCCCTAAGCGCGGCCGAAGGCCGCCTACGCAGAGAGAAGTTCTGCCCAAAAATCCTTCCGTCCCGCCTTTTCCGGCAACACAGCAAGGAGGATTCTACTTAGTAAGGGTCATAATGCCTAAGTGCGGCCGAAGGCCGCCTACGCAGAAAGAAGTTCTGCCCAAAAATACTTTCGGTCCCCTTTTCCGGCAACACAGAAAAGAGAATTCTACTTAGTAAAGAATATAATCCCTAAGCGCGGCCGAAGGCCGCCTACGCAGAGAGAAGTTCTGCCCAAAAATACTTCCGGTCCCCTTTTCCGGCAACACAGAAATGAGAATTCTACTTAGTAAGGAATATAATCCCTAATCGCGGCCGAAGGCCGCCTACGCAGAGAGAAGTTCTGCCCAAAAATACTTCCGGTCCCCTTTTCCGACAACACAGAAAGGAGAATTCTACTTAGTAAGGAATATAATCCCTAAGCGCCGCCGAAGGCCGTCTACGCAGAAAGAAGTTCTGCCCAAAAATACTTCCGGCTCCCTTTTCCGGCAACACAGAAAGGAGAATTCTACTTAGTAAGGGTTATAATCCCTAAGCGCGGCCGAAGGCCGCCTACGCAGAAAAAAGTTCTGCGCAAAAATACTTCCGCCCTTCTTTTCCGGCAACACAGAAAGGAGAGTTCTACTTAGTAAGGGTTATAGTCCCTAAGCGCGGCCGAAGGGCGCCTACGCAGAGAGAAGTTCTGCCCAAAAATACTTCCGTCCCGCCTTTTCCGGCAACACAGAAAGGAGAGTTCTACTTAGTAAGGGTTATAATCCCTAAGCGCGGCCGAAGGCCGCCTACGCAAAAAGAAGTTCGTTTTCATGTATGCACTACTTCGGTTTTGTCATATGCATTATTTCGGTTTCGTGTCGAAACTGTGCATGTATGCATGAATTCGGTTTTTGTCATATGCATAATTTCGGGTTTGAACCAAAACTCTGCATGTGTGCATTACTTCGTTTTTCTCATATGCGTTATTTCGGTTTTCAAACGAAAGTCTATGCATTATTTCGGTTTTTTCATATGCGTTATTTCGGTTTTCAACCGGAACTGTGCAAATATGCATTATTTCGGTTTTTTTCGTATGCATTATTTCGGTTTTCAAACGAAAGAGTGCATATGCACAATTTCGGTTTTTCTAATATGCATTATTGCGGTTTTCAACCGAAACTGTGCATATATGCATTATTTCGGTTTTTTTCATATGCATTATTTCGGGTTTCTTCATATGCATTATTCCATATGCACAATTTCAGGGTGCCGATGTAAACACCCCAAAATATGAACACATTTTATTTTGTATTGACTACTCTAAAGAGTAAAGAAGACTTGAAAGCTCTAAAAGATGAAATATATGTAGCATATTTACATACATATATGAATGCTAACATATTAATAATACGTAAATACATGAAACTTCCCAATTTCTGAGGTCGGGGAATCCCGTACTATTGCGAAGTGTGTTCAATTCATATGAATTAATTCTATGCACCGAGTTTGGGCACGGTACGGTAAAATTGAAAACTTAATTTTTTAATAAAAGTATTTCTTTACTCTGTTCATTTTTGAATGTATAAAAAAATTTTGTCTCCGTTTGTTTGGGCATTCTACTGAACTGATTTCAAAACCAAGAACACCATTGGAGAGGTAATTTTCTGTAGATGAGGAGAGTCTTTATGGTTTCAAAAAATTTCCGTAATTTGTGTATGGTTGTTGTTGCAGGCTGTCCAATTTGAGCTGTTTTCGTATTTTCTTTTACTTTGTATTTGAAATTAAACTTTAAAGATAAATATGAAGATGAAGAAATAAATGATAACGATGAAGACAAAAAAGAGAAGACAAAAGTGAAGATTAAGATGAAAATGGAGACAATGAGAAATACATTAGAATTAGGGTAACTGAAAAAGTAAGAAAATTAATTGAAAATTTTCGATATGAATCGAAATAAATGCAGTCATAAAAGTTACCGAAATTCATCGTATTATCGAAGTTTATATTTTTCGAAATTTACCGAGTTATCCATGCTTATTGAGTTGTCGAAACATATCGAATTATTCAAATTGATCAATGTCGAAATTTATAGATACAGAAACTTAGTTGTCGAAATTTATGGATATTTATCGAGCCCTAAAAATTTAAGGAATTATCGAAATTTGTCAAGCTAAAGGAATTTATAAAGTTATCGATATTTACTGAATTATCATTATTTATAGACTTAACGAAATTTATCGAGTTATCGTAATGCATCGAGTTCTTTCAACTTACAGAGCTATTGATCAATTGAAATTGGTCGATTTATCGAATCGAAGTTTATGGAATTTTCAAACTATCGATTTATCGAAATTTGAAGGTTATATAAGTTTATCGAGTTATCAGTGCTTATCTAATTTTATCGTGTTAACAGAGTGTAACGAGTTATCGAAATTTTTCGAAAGCTTTCGAAAAATATGGAGCTGTCAAAATTAAAAATTTATGAAGGTATCCAAAGTTATTATACATTTTTGAGTTATCGAAATTTATCGAACCCTCCAGTTTCACTGTTATCGAAATTAGTCGAGTGATCGAATTTTGTTGAGATATCGGATTTTAGTGTTTTTGAAATTCACCGAATTATCGATATGTATCAAATCATTGTAATTTATCGATAAACTGGAAGGTATCGGGTCAATTCCAAGTGCTGCCGAAGTCCTCCAAAGACTTTCAAAGATATAAAAAATTGTTGGCTCCTTTTTGTCCAGAGCGAGTTTAGTTACAAGAAGCAAAGCGAATGGGTCTGGTGGTGAACGAGGACAAAACGAAGTATCTCCTGTCAGCACACAAACAGTCAGAGCATACGCGTCTTGGCACCCACGTCACTGTTGACAGTTACAAGTTTGAAAAAGTGGACGACTTCGTTTATTTGGGAACCAGCATTAACACCAATAATAATGTCAGCCTTGAAATCCAACGGAGAATCACTCTTGCCAACAAGTGCTACTTTGGGCTGAGTAGGCAATTGAGAAGTAAAGTCCTCTCTCGTCGTACAAAGATCACACTCTATAAGTCACTCATCATGCCTGTGCTGGTGTATGGCGCGGAAGCATGGACAATGAAAGCATCTGATGAGGCGGCTCTTGGAGTTTTCGAGAGAAAGATTCTGCGAAAGATTTACGGACCTTTACGCGTTGGTGATGGCGAATATCGCAGACGATTTAACGATGAGCTGTATGAGCTTTACAACGATATAGACATAGTGCAGCGAATTAAAATTCAGCGGCTCCGCTGGCTTGGCCATGTCGTTCGGATGGACAGAAACGCTCCTGCTCTGAAAATATTCAACGCGGGCCGCGATGCTGGGAACAGAGGAAGAGGAAGGCCTCCTCTGCGTTGGAAAGACCAGGTGGAGAAGGACTTGGCTTCACTTGGCATTTTCAATTGGCGTCAGTTAGCACAGAAGAGAAATGACTGGCGTGCTGTTTTGGACTCGGCCAAAATCGCTTAGGCGGTTACAGCGCCAAATAAGAAGAAGAAAGAGTTTAGTTACGTTTTAAGTTAGAAAACCTCTCCAAGGCTCTTAAGAACTAGAAAAACTGTCGAATTTTGAAAGTAACTGGCACTCTAGTAAATGTCAAAGGCTTGTAAATGTTGAACTATAGTAACATAGCAACATGTGGCACATCATGCAAGTGCCAGTTCATAGTATGTCGTTCATACATGTTGGACAATGACATATGAAGACAGCGTCGAATAAATTTAAATGAAATCGTGTATCAAATCTATGCATGTCAACTCAAACGACAAGTGCGACACATGCGACCATAGCAATGCATGCAATTTTTAAAAATGACACTTTAACAGAAAATATTGAATTTTGCAGTACTTTAAAAAATATATTCAATTTTCTTTTATAAATATAAAAATTCATTTTAAAATGCTTAATTGGGGTAAAATGGGAATATTTTTTGCCATAATTTTGGCATTCGAAAAAGTGAACAAATTCGTAAAATGCGAACCCGCTTGATTTTAAGTAGTTCACATTATGGAGCGTGTACTGTATATTTGTAATTATTTTAAACATCCGAGCTTTGGTGACAAACATTTTCATATTTTAATACTGGAATCATAAGCTTTGGAATGATGTAGATTTGGTCCCCTGGAAGAGGGGGTTAAGGTCTTATTTGACTGAAGTACTAATATGTTCATATTGTACTTATCTATTCTTTTACTACTTCAGTGGCATATGCAGTTTGCCTGTTGAGGTGCAATCACATTCCACACTGGACGTTGCTATTAAGGACGCTGTAGCTAATACATTTAATGAATTACCACGTGCCAAATTTGCTAGCGTTGTGCGTTGGTATGCGATGCTGGCTTGTGCGACATCGACTTTAGAGTCACACAATGGTATTTCGGAATTGTGCGTAAAGTTGTTGGCCGAAATCACACGGGAAATCGATGGACGCTGGGATCCGTATTGTTCTTTGCTTAGTACAAGGTAATCAAATATTTCATTTTATTCTTTTACAAAATGTGCATTGATTTTAAATTGTGTTTTCCAAAGATTTGGTCTTTATGGGTTTCCTTTTGAACCAGAAATATTCGATTACGATTTGCCAAATGTAAATAAAAGCAACGTAACACTGCCAACGTCGCTAATGAATATGATTCGTTCGAATGCAGGACTTATGCAAGCGGCGGGTTTAGATATAAAGAAGCTTTGTTCCATCGGTTAGTGTAACGAATTTCAGTTTTCATGGACTATTGGAATTGAAATATAACCATAATTGTTCCTTTTTTATTTTTTAGATGGTGTAGATTTTCGTACATTCCCTCATTTGATAAAATGCAAGAGTGTAAGCAACCAATTGCGTGGCCTATTGGAGGTGGAACAATTACATTTTACATGTGCTTCGACGTCAGAAGCAACACGTATCGATAACATGGACACGGTGTCGGCAAGTAGTTCATCAAATATTAACATGGAGGAGTTGATAGTCGCACCGATGGTCGACATGCCAAAAGAACAAGAAAGTTACAATGTAATATTAAAATTGTACATATAAATATTGAACAGCTAAACTAATAATTTTACTTTACATCTAGGTTAACGATATTGTATACAGTGTGGATAAACAAACGAAAATAGTGAATTCCAAAAAAACGGAAAATGATGTGGTGATAGCTGAAGTCCTTAAACCAAATGGGATATGTAGTAAGTATATTTCGACAAAACCGTACGATATTGAAACTCGAACCAAAATATAGAGATCCCTGTCACAATGATTTGTAATGCCCTTCGATGTTATGACCTTACTATGGTACAAAATCATTTTTGGTGGTATGATATGTCTTATTTTCAGCTATGTAAAAACGGTTTTCATATTTCTTCTTCTATGATCTTGCACATACGACAATGGTCCGGAGCGTCTACCCCTGGCGTTATCTCATGTGAACCAATTATACGTTAATATACCCTATAAGGAAAGGTATTTCCTTTCTAAACAGACTGAAGATCATATACATGCGTTGCCACAGCAGTCGGGTCTACGAAATCGTAACTACACAGATTTAAAACTGGCCAAGGACTATAACTCAAGCATCATTCCCTAAAAACTATTTGGGGAATTTGTTTGTTATTAACCCAAAAACGACGTCAGAATGATGCGTTTCGGGTTTTACTGACCGCTTAATGGCGGCGATTGCTTTACCTATCGTGCCCTTTCTTGGAAGGACGTAAATGTTTGTACTTTTCCTAGCCAATTCGTCAGCTTTGCTCAATATTTACGAGTTTATGCACCCATACAGTTTAATTTAATAATATAATTAATAATATAAAGCATATTCCCTCCCTGTATGTCTGTGAGGGAAACTTTGGGCGGCAGAATAGCCAGAGATTTCCTTGATTAATGAGCCAACCATAAAGCCTTAATTATGCAATAAAACGACAACCGCATGTGGTCGCAGACAACATTTAGGGCGTTCATCTACTTAGTTAATAAAGAAGTAAATTCTAATAGCTCTCAAAGTAAAACGTTCATATAAATTCACACGGATATCTTCCATCCCTCTCTCGCTACATTGAACAAATTTTGATTTAAATTAAGAGTGTTCGCGAGGCGAATAACTCATTATTTTTCCTCTAGGAATGGTGGTGGACGTGTTTTGGCTGAATCGTAACCTTTTGTAATGTTTGCACACTTGCACATATGTATGTACATACATATATGTACATATGTGGACACAGAAAACTTTTTTTAGCTGCTGTAAAATAGTACAGCCAGCAGCTTTATAGTTACATACGCTTTTATCATACTGCTTCACTTTTGGCGTGATTGAAAAATAACCTACAAAAATTAAAAAATTTAAAATATTGGATAGGGCACACCAAGCTCTGTGACAAATCGAGAGTCTGGTGATTAATCTTGTTTGTTAAGTTCCATGGGCGCGTAACTTCCACTTATCTTCCACGAAAATCAGAAATAACTTTCCGCGAGGGATGACTTGTGTTCGAAAGTAAACGGTTACCTCAGCGATCTTTTTCGCTTCTTCACTGCAAGGAGCCTAACCCTCTCCCCTACGAAATCCTGTACGAAGGAGGTCAGATTGCAGCTGGGTATTCACGTCGACGGCGAATAACCCGAAAATGCTCGGAGTTACCTTCGATAGTCTGCTCTCCTTATCGGCGCATACAACCGCAATTATCAATCCCGTACAGAGCCGCAACAAGGCCCTCAAGTCGCTAGCCGGCAGCACCTGCTGGCAACATACAAGGCAAATGGTTGGCCGGTTCTAAACTATGCAGCGCCAGTGTGGTCGCCGGAGACTAGAAGGACACAGTAGACGAAGCTACAGACATGCCAGAACCAGGCACTCCAAACCGCGACTGGATGTCTTCTGATGTCGCCACAACACCACCTGCACGACGAGGCCCAGATGCTCCCCATTAAGGAGCTTAACACAATGCTCTGCAAGCACTGCCTAGTAGTGCTTGCAGAAGAGCCCATGCCAAAGAACGTCAAGAGGCATCTCTACGAACTGACGGACGAAGTCCAAAGGTTAATAAAACAACCTCTGGACCCAACTGCATACCGACAGGCCTTATACAGCATTCACAGGGATTCGGTCTCTAGTTACATAGACTCTCGACCTGTGAATGCCGTTTTGAGCACACAACCACCCGACGTGGACGAGACAGCTTTGCCGATCTTCGCTCTGGCCACTGCAGCAGGCTAAACTCGTACCTGACCAGAGTGAGCGCTGGTGTGCCCAATGAGTGCCCGGCATGCGGATAGTCGCCACATGACTCACGGCACCATTTCGCACGGATCCAAAACCCCATCCAGCTAACGCCCCTGTCCCTACGGTGAAAGTTTCACACTTCCTGGGCCTCCCTTTAGCTGAGGCTGACGACAGCGTTGATGGACAAGCCGGCAAGAGCGAGGTTTAGTAGCCGCTACAACAACAACGTCAATGCGGATTTTGGTTCTTTTTTGTCGCCGTTCGCAACAGGCTCGCGTTTTACCACTCACAGATTTTGGTTAAATTACTCCCCCACAATAAAGTTATGCAAAATCCTCACGGCTTGTACGGCTTGTTTTAAAGATGGTGACCTTTGTACCGCAGCTGACAAAAATACAAAAACTGAATGTTGCATTTACATGGTATGAAGCCATGATAATAACACAAGGTTATGTAATTTGTGACAGCTCAAATCTGACACTCCTTTATCTAGATTTGTATTTTGGAAGTAGGAGAAAGGGGAAGAATGTGATCGCAGTTTGCGAAAACGGTAGTAAAATGGTACTACAAAAAGTACGCAAAGTATACAATTAGAAGTAAAATGTGTATAATTAATTCTATGTGAATTTGCAATATATTTGGTTTTTTAATGGCAATACTAAACAATACGTATAAATATAGATTTTTAGTTCAAGTTATTCGTCATTTCCTGGAACAAATATAGAATACCGACCGTTCAGCTATGCAAAAACTAAAAATGCAGATCAATAGAACTTTTTACGCTCTTTTCAACCATGCCAAAATTATTTAGCGCAAGTAAAATATGAATACGTTTTAGAAGGTTAAATTTTTTAATTATTTTTAATATTAAGATCTTATGAAACACAACCGATTAAAAAACTAATAACGTCACCATAAAAATAATCAATTTATCTTTCAGCTGATAAACATAATTGAAATTGGTTTTTATATATTTAAACCAAAACCACTAAAAAACGAACAAATGTTATTTTTTCATGAAATAACCTTTTTTGAAAAAACTGCATAGTTAATGGTAAAGAAATTAATATTATTTAGAAGGTACAAGTTATTACCTTTAATTCGATATTACATATTTTGTCATTATCTACTTTTGGGTTTCAACAATTTAGTGATAATAAAAAATACAAATAAATAAAGCAAATAAATCTCTTATACTTCTTTATTTATTAACTGCGTCGAATAAATTTGGTATCGTTCAAATCAATGTAAAAAGTTCTATCAAGCGGTATTTTTGGATATTTTATAGCTAAACGGGCGCTATTCTACACTTGTTCGCAACGCAAACGAAGGTGATGCTCACGAATATTTAGTATGAAGAATTTTGGGTTTTACTACTAATATCATTAGAAACTGTAGAGTAAGCAACATTCTGCACAAGTAAAGGAGCCGATTTATGTGTGGAAGCGAGAAGACTGTTTTATTACAAAGCCTTTCTATTATTGAATCATGGTATGAAGCCATATGAACTGTTGATACGTTAAAATAGAGACACTACATGTTCCAATGAGGAACTCAGTGATAACGAGTGGGATGCATATAATAAATTTTTTCATATGAAAAATTATGGGGAGATACTGTAAACATACTGGTGTGATACTGTTAAGCATATGAAATTATAGCAAGTTGGATTTTCATACAACTTCCCATAAAAAGTTTAACAGATGCAGAGATACTAAGGAGATGTTTTCCCATTGTGATGCCTTTTTAATATAAAAACCCACCGAAAAGGAGGAAAGCGGCAACTCCGCCATTCACATACATGTCAAAAGTATGAATTTTAAAAATTAAAAACAATAAACAAACAAATTCAAAACAAAAAAATTCATTGTACTGGAACTTTTTAAATAGAAGCAACTCACGCATAGTAGACAATAAAAATACAAAGCACTATGATAACAAACTTAAAAACAAGACATTACAGAACATTTTAATGAGCTTCATATCACATTTAAGTAAAAATAAGCCTATATTTTCCAAGCTGGCAAAGAAATGAAAATGTGTATTTTTTGTTGTTTACACAAAGACTTGCCAAATATACATATAAGTCAAAATTATAGAAGGCATGTATACTTCTCCCTTTCATTTTTTCATACAATTAATGCTTCTTTCTGGCTTTTACAAAATGCAGGGATACCACACTTATTTCGGTACAAGATGATCGTAATGTATTTTCAATTCGAAATCAAAGAAAAACATTCCACGAAAATGTTTACGATTTTAGAAAAATTAGTGTATATTTGCAAACTACTGCAAAGAATGCAGTGGCATATCTTAAAAGGTTCAGAGAATTAACGACACAAACAAACATTTTATGGTCTCAGGTTTCCTTCAAACCGCATTGCTATTTTTTCTAACTTTTCCTTTTGTTTAGCCCAGTAACCGCTTAAGTTATATCTTTTAATTTATACATGTGAATTATTTTCAATGAGCATTTTTTCATTTGCTCCTGAATTTTGGGTACATTTTCTTATAGTACCTCTCATTCTTTTTTATATCATATATATACAATCCGATGTTCGGGATAGTATTTTGAATATACCAGCAATATATGTAGAAGTAGTGGCGGTTGCTGTAGAGTAGCAGTACGCGCTACCATTGCGCAGCGCCACAGTTCAAGCCGAGTTTCCCACCAACATCAACATATAAAAAACAAAAAAGCTTTTTTCAGATAGCGGTCGCCCCTCTGCTGGTAATAGTTAACCTCCCAGCGTATTCTGTCATGGAAACAGCTTCTCATAACAATACAATTGCCGTTCGGAGTCCTTTACTTTGTGTGACAAAATCAAGGCGCACGCCACATATCGGAGGAGAAGCTAGGCCAAACACTAACATATTGTGTAAGCGCCAATCTGTATATCGTCGTTTAAAATACAAAAGCGCGTATCGTGGTTCTGCAAAACCTCGTAACTGACATTTGTGCCATAAAAGATA